TAAAAATGTGGTAATTAAAATGGGAAATTTATACAAAAAATAAAAATGTGAATCAGCAGGCAAAAAAGAATATTCAAAATTTATGTTCGTGCTCAAAATAAATTATTTTAGAAAGCACAACATATGATTACTTTTGGGTTGTTATTGTGAATAAGTGAGGTATGAAAATCAAAAAAATAATGTGGGAATGGGAATGCATGAAATTGAAATTTTTTTATTATTAAATTTAATTTTATACGTTCTGACAAAAGTTTTATTAAATTATTACATAATTAAATTTATTATAATTAAAATTTAAATAGAAAAATCTTACATCGAATAGTTTTAATGATCGGTACTGTGAAATTTGTCACTAATATTGTAAGTAGTACCTAGTACCCGTATGGAACTATTTCCAAATTTTGAATTAAATACGAAATTAGCACGGTCTTAAACCATATCTCTTACTACTTGTTAAAATATTCATTATTTCCTCAAATACATGAATTATTATAAAGCGCAGTTTATGAAACAGAGAGACAGTTTTCAGTAAGTTTTTACAAGCTGCCACCGTTACATAATATTGGAATAATAAAAAAAGACTTTAAATTCGTATATACGTTATTATTATAAATTGCCAGGAATGTACCTACATATATGTGCTCTTTTTGGGGATAACTTTGTTTTTACATTTAATTTTAGAAAATTATTAAATATAATATTGCAAGCGATATAAAAACAAATTATGTTCAAAGACAAAAAAGTCATTGCCGATTTGTTAAAATTTCACTAGACATTTATAAAAATTTTATTTGAAATAGTTATTAAATTTGTATTATAAAAATAAAGAAATTGTAGAAAAAGTAAATTGAAACCAATGTATACTTGATATACCGCTATTTCAATGCTGACAAAGGACAAACTGCATTTATCTATATAGATAATGTATCAAAAACACAATTTAAAGCCAGCTTTTAAGCTATTTTAATAGCGCAAGTCGATAATATATATAATGTTCGAAATGATTTGCTGATTTTAGGCACAAATTTTTTTTACAAAAAACTGAAATACGCAGTTAAAAGACTAGATACATTTCATAATATTCATAATAAAGCAATATGTGCGTTGAACAAAATACCATCATGTCTCCATACCGCAAGCCCAAGTCGTTATAAAAAAAAAATGAATTCATTTATAGATTGAGCGAAAACCAAATTTTTACTAGCTTCTTGTTTTTTTCTAATATTCAATAATTTTATGTACTAACTATTTCCAAGCACTGTGTGATCACATATACAAATGTACAATATCGACTATAATAAAAATTACATTAATTTTTGTGTTAATGCAGTTTCTCGAATTCATTATAATTTTTTTGTTTTGCTCCAAATTTGAAACTGTTCAAATCAATCAATAATATTGAAATTCAATAATATTGAAAAGATATAAAATTTTAAGTAATATTATAAAATTGTTTAAATATTTGGAGCACATAAATTTTTTTATAAAAATTTAAAAAAATAAATACATGTATGTATACATAAAAAAAATAACATTCATTTTCTCTTATTTTGGTTTCTCTTTTAAATTAGTTGTCGTCTTTTTCGAAATTTTGTATAAAATGTCAGTCATTATTCACAAAACAAGTTTAAATTTTTTGCATTAAATGTTAAAACAATCATCAAAACAATCAAAACAAATCTAATAATATGCACATACCTACATATTTACAAAAATTCATTTATATTAAATTTTATTTTTGAAATAAAAAAGAAATAAAAATAACTTTATTAATATTGTTATAAGAAAAAATCATGTTGATTTTTTATTACTATAATCAGTTAAATGTTACGAGAAAGACAAGCAAAGCAACTGCGTTTTTGATAATCCAGTTCTAACCTATAATATTAATTAATGTAACTTACGTTTTACAATAAAATACTGCACTTGCTATCAAAAAAATGTGTTTTGTAATGCGGTACTATTTTGAAAGTTTGTTTTATAACTATAATTGTATGCTAAGGTATTTAAGATATATGTAGGTTTTTTTTTTAATTTTGTTATTACTTTAATAAAAAATTTGAATTTATAAATTCAGCTGTCAATAATAAAGAAATTTTTTATGCTAACATCAAATTTGTGTGTTTTACAGCTGTGCCCTTCTATGATCCAATATATAACTTATAAAGTTATAAGTTCTAAGTTAAAAATAACGCCTCAAAAACGCCTTAACAAGAACTAGATTAAGCGTTCTGCATAATTTGTCTTTTGTAAATTAAAGACTTTACCAATTAGGTGAATTCGATTAAAACTTAAATGAAGTTACACTATTTGTAAATAATTTTGAGCGACTCAAAGTTATTCTTAAAAATAACTTTAATAATATTCATTTGATGATTTTTTAGTGCACGCAAACAAATAGCAAGTGACTTGAAGATTTTATTGGAAAAATGTAATTAATTTTTTATGTAAAATTTTTAAAAATTCTTTCAAAAAATGCAATTATTTTTTCTCGGAATAAATCAAACTTCAACATGTAAAAACGTTTCAGTCGGTATAAACCGATTGAATTATACCCTGCACGTTTCGTTGTTGTGTAGCAATTACTCAAACCTATGAAACCATTCTATAGAAACTTCACGAATATGTCTGACCTATAATTGGACACACAACTGCCAAGTTTCATGAATCTGACTTTATTATTTTTCCAAATATTTAAAATAAGTTTTTAGAGTTGTATGGGAGCTACTCGAACCTGTCAAGCAATTCCATTAAAACCTCAGAAATGTATCTGACCTATAATTGGTTTTTGAAATATTTAAAATAAACTCTTTGAGTTGTATGCCAGCAACCCGATCCCGTTGTCCGAATTAGTCCAATTACAATTGGGTTTGTTCTTGGCACAAAAGAAACAACTTGTGAAAGTTTGGTGTCGATTGCATTATTCGTTTTTGAGTTATCGTGCGATCGGACGGACGGACATGTCTAAATCGACGCAGAATTTGACGCTGACCAAAAATTATATATATGTCTATACCGGAGACGACTCCTTCAAGTAGTTACAAACTCCATACCAAAGTTAATATACTCTTCACGAAGTGCAGGGTATAATAATTATTGAATTAACAATAAAAATGTAAAACATTAAATAAACAACTAAAAAGGTTTCAGTCGATATTAGCTGACTGAATTATATATATTCTACACATCAAAAGCTAGTAAGGCAGCTGAAAATTTTTTTGAATCGTATACAAACCATAATTCTATTTGTAAATAAAGAATTATGGTTTGTATACGATGTAAATTCATAAAAGTGTTTAAAATAATCTATTTAAATTATATGGAAGTTATCCGAACTCATTTTTTAAATTAGACTATATTGTTTACATCAACGCAGAATTTCACTTTGACCAGGAACATAAATACTACATGTTTATACTGCAGACGATTCCTTTAAAGGGTTATAAATTTCATACTAAAGCTAAAATATCATTCGCTAAGATGTGGGGCATAAAAACAACTTTATTAACATATTATTGATTTAATTTTGTATTTTAAATACCATAAAAAATATACGAGAAATAAGAAAATAAAGAAGACAAAATTATCAATTCAAGAATCGAATAAAAAATGCCAACATCTAATTGAAATATCATTAATCCAGATAAAAATAATGTTCAGCTGCGAAAAAAAAAATTATCTGGTTTCTCTTAATATTTTCAAAACACTATTCACTCTGAAATTTATGATGATTTTTTTTTAACTTTAAGATTACACATAAGATCACCGATATATAAGCAATCAAAATGATTATTTATCTTGCTTTATTTAATAGCACTTATACACTTAACTTTAAAATTATTATTTCTGTTTTTTGCTTTCATTGCAATTCTTTTTATGTAAAATTACAAATAAAGCAGATAATATGGAGTTATGCATTATATTTATTTGAAAATCTATATCTTATCTCAAATGGCACCCAATAAAACGATTACTACCTGTCGCTTTTAAAAAGCAGAAAAAAAATATTAAAGATAAACATAATCGAAAACTGATTCTGATTTCATCCAGACAATCTGACTTTTTAGTTCATTTTTATACCCTATACCTTGATAAAGAGTATTTAATTTTAGTATGGAAATTGTAACTTCTTAAAAGGAAACACAATTCTGCTTTAATTTGGACGCCTCCGAAGGATTGGTAGATAACTTGAAAACAGACATATCAAAGATTTAAAAACTGCAACGGATTCAGCTGTGGTTGGCTTACAATTCAAAGAGATTATTTTAAAAATTCAAAAACTTGATAATGATGTTGTGTCTAATTGTAGCTCATATAATATATCCTAGAATTGTTTTTTAAATGGCTCAGCTATTTCGGGTACCTGCTATAAAACTTTAAGAAATATTAAATTATAGATAATTCAGAAACTAATTTTAATAGTCAGTAGATATTATATATACAATAGTAGGTAAATTATACCCTACAATAGAATAAGTAGGGTATAATTTAGTCAATTAAGTTTGATTGAAACATTTTTACTTGTTTAATTTTCAATAAGAAAGAAAATCCATTGCGGCGAAAATGTTCTTGTTTTAGCTAGCGCGCGTAAATATACTATTATTAAAAGAACGACTGTGTATTTATCGGTCTGTCGCTCTACGCATTTCTGCTTCTCAAGAATAATGTTCTTGAAAAATAAAATCACTTGTTTGTTTATCTGAATGAAACAATCAGTTCAAGAACACGATCATGACGACGAGGAGTTAAAACTATGTAAAGCTATAAATTATAAGCGTTAAATTCTTCATCCAGCGTCAAATTCTGAATCTATTTTATTGTTTTCTTAATAAAGATATTGGATGTTTTCTGGTCAGTGTTGATTAGGACAAAATGTAATGAAATAATTCTGTAAATTATTTTAAGACAAAAATTTACTATTTTAAATACTTATATAAATTCTTTATTGTTTATTTTTTATGTTCTGTTTTTCTACATATATAAATTCTTGAAGTCAAAGTTTACTCGAGACATTCTCCTTTGTTAGTCACGCACATCGCATTTTTAGATTCAAAATACATACTCTCTTTACAGGTTTTTATTGTTGGTCGATTAAGACATAAAATATATTTTTTACAACTATTCGGATGTGGCACGGATGTTCCCCACGACTTTCCTAAGCAAAGATTATTTGAATTTTTCATTTTATGGCTTCTATAAACTGGTTGATGAATCCCTCCAATTTTTCCGTGAGAACAAGATCCGTCGTTTGGAATACAAAAGTTTGCTTTTTTGTTAAAGTATTGACCAGGTAAACAGTTTTGCTCTCTCCAAATTCCTTTTACGCATAAATGAAATTTAGAACAGTCCAGCTCATGTTCTTTGTATTCACCGTGAATACATCTGCTACAAGATCCATTATTTATAATACAAACATTTCTCTCTTTACTAAAATATTGACCTTCCGGGCAAATTTCATGTCTCCAGACATTTAATACGCACAAATAAAAATTAAAACAACTAGCTGGGTCTTCTCTATATTGACCATGTATGCAATTCGGACTGGGTTTTTCCGAAGTGGTAGTCATACCACCATGACATGAGCCATCATCAACTACGCAATGCTTTAAGATTTTGTTAAAATACTGTCCCGATGGACAAATCTGGATCTTCCAATTTCCATGAACGCATAATTGGAATCTTGTACAATCTCCAATGTATTCTTCAAATTTTCCATGCACGCATCCTGGATTTGCTGTGGTTGTGCTCATGGTGGAATGTGTTCCAGGTTTGCATGTTCCATCTTCAGGTATGCAATAATTTTTTTGTTTGCTAAAGTATTGACCGTTAGGACAAACTTGCATTCTCCACTTTCCATTTACACATAAATAAAATTTTTCACAATCACCAGAATGGTCCTTAAATTTACCATGCACGCACTGAGGCCCATTTGTTGTTGTAGATGATGTGGTTGAACCGCAAGTACCGTCGTGTGGCACACAATGCTTTCTGACCTTGTTAAAGTATTGACCAATTGGACAAGTTTGCAATTTCAACTTTCCATTAACACACACGTAGAATTTTTCGCAATCATCAGGATAGTCCTGAAATTTCCCATGTTGACATTGTGGGATTTCTGTAGTTGTAGTTGACGATGTTATTGTGCTTGAAGTGCTGGTTGATGAAGTAGTTTTGCAAGTTCCATCTTCTGGTACACAATAATTTTTTTGCTTGTTAAAATATTGACCATTAGGACAATTTTGCATTCTCCAATTTCCATTTACACACAAATAAAATTTTTCACAGTCGTTTGAATGGCCTCTAAATTTACCATGTATACACTGAGGTCCATTTGTTGTGGTAGATGATGTGGTAGAACCGCAAGTGCCGTCGTGAAGTATACAGTGCTTCTTGACTTTGTTAAAATATTGACCAATTGGACAAGTTTGCAATTTTAACTTTCCATTAACACACACGTAGAATTTTTCACAATTATCAGGATAGTCCTGAAATTTCCCATGTTGACATTGGGGAATTACCGTGGTTGTAGTTGAGGTGGTTGACGTTGTAGTGGACCTGCACGTACCATCTTCTGGTATACAATAGTTCTTTTCTTTGTTAAAATATTGCCCATTAGGACATCTTTGAGATCTCCACTTTCCGTTCACACATAGGTAGAATTTTTCGCAATCATTTGGGTATTTCTCAAATGCGCCATGTTGGCACTCAGGTTTTTCGGTAGAAGTTGTTGTTGAACTAGAAGACGTAGTCGTCGTTGACGGAGTTGATGTAGTTGTACTAGAACTAGTGGATGTTGTGGTAGATCTGCACGTACCATCTTCTGGAATGCAATAGTTCTTCTCTTTGTTAAAATATTGCCCATTAGGACATCTTTGAGATCTCCACTTTCCGTTCACACATAGGTAGAATTTTTCGCAATCATTTGGGTATTTCTCAAATGCGCCATGTTGGCACTCAGGTTTTTCGGTAGAAGTTGTTGTTGAACTAGAAGACGTAGTCGTCGTTGACGGAGTTGATGTAGTTGTACTAGAACTAGTGGATGTTGTGGTAGATCTGCACGTACCATCTTCTGGAATGCAATAGTTCTTCTCTTTGTTAAAATATTGCCCATTAGGACATCTTTGAGATCTCCACTTTCCGTTCACACATAGGTAGAATTTTTCGCAATCATTTGGGTATTTCTCAAATGCGCCATGTTGGCACTCAGGTTTTTCGGTAGAAGTTGTTGTTGAACTAGAAGACGTAGTCGTCGTTGACGGAGTTGATGTAGTTGTACTAGAACTAGTGGATGTTGTGGTAGATCTGCACGTACCATCTTCTGGAATGCAATAGTTCTTCTCTTTGTTAAAATATTGCCCATTAGGACATCTTTGAGATCTCCACTTTCCGTTCACACATAGGTAGAATTTTTCGCAATCATTTGGGTATTTCTCAAATGCGCCATGTTGGCACTCAGGTTTTTCGGTAGAAGTTGTTGTTGAACTAGAAGACGTAGTCGTCGTTGACGGAGTTGATGTAGTTGTACTAGAACTAGTGGATGTTGTGGTAGATCTGCACGTACCATCTTCTGGAATGCAATAGTTCTTCTCTTTGTTAAAATATTGCCCATTAGGACATCTTTGAGATCTCCACTTTCCGTTCACACACAGGTAGAATTTTTCGCAATCATTTGGGTACTTCTCAAATGCGCCATGTTGGCACTCAGGTTTTTCGGTAGAAGTTGTTGTTGAACTAGTAGACGTGCTCGTCGTTGACGGAGTTGATGTAGTTGTACTAGAGCTAACCGTTGTTGTGGTAGATCTGCACGTACCATCTTCTGGAATGCAATAATTCTTTTCCTTATTAAAGTATTGACCATTAGGACACGACTGTAATCTCCACTTTCCATTTACGCATAAGTAGAATTTTTCGCAATCACTAGGATACTCTTGGAATTCACCATGTTGACATTCTGGTTTTTCTGTTGTTGTCGTAGTTGTTGAAGTGGTTGAAGTGGTTGTTGAAGGGGTGGTAGTGGTGGTACTGGAAGACGTTGATGTTGTTGTACTTCTACATGTTCCATCTTCAGGAATACAATAATTCTTTTGCTTATTAAAGTATTGACCGTTAGGACACGACTGTAATCTCCACTTGCCATTTACGCATAAGTAGAATTTTTCGCAATCACTAGGATACTCTTGGAACTCACCATGTTGACATTCTGGTTTTTCTGTTGTTGTCGTACTTGTTGAGGTGGTTGTTGTTGAAGGCGTTGTAGTAGTGGTACTGGAAGACGTTGATGTTGTTGTACTTCTACATGTTCCATCCTCAGGAATACAATAATTCTTTTGCTTATTAAAGTATTGACCGTTAGGACACGACTGTAATCTCCACTTTCCATTTACGCATAAGTAGAATTTTTCGCAATCACCAGGATACTCTTGGAATTCACCATGTTGACATTCTGGTTTTTCGGTTGTTGTCGTAGTTGTTGAAGTGGTTGAAGTGGTTGTTGAAGGGGTGGTAGTAGTCGTACTGGAAGAAGTTGATGTTGTTGTACTTCTACATGTTCCATCTTCTGGAATGCAATAATTCTTTTCCTTATTAAAGTATTGACCATTAGGACACGACTGTAATCTCCACTTTCCATTTACGCATAAGTAGAATTTTTCGCAATCACTAGGATACTCTTGGAAATCACCATGTTGACATTCTGGTTTTTCTGTTGTTGTCGTAGTTGTTGAAGTGGTTGAAGTGGTTGTTGAAGGAGTGGTAGTAGTCGTACTGGAAGACGTTGATGTTGTTGTACTTCTACATGTTCCATCCTCAGGAATACAATAATTCTTTTGCTTATTAAAGTATTGACCATTAGGACACGACTGTAATCTCCACTTTCCATTTACGCATAAGTAGAATTTTTCGCAATTACCAGGATACTCTTGGAATTCACCATGTTGACATTCTGGTTTTTCTGTTGTTGTCGTAGTTGTTGAAGTCGTTGAAGTGGTTGTTGAAGGGGTGGTAGTAGTCGTACTGGAAGACGTTGATGTTGTTGTACTTCTACATGTTCCATCCTCAGGAATACAATAATTCTTTTCCTTATTAAAGTATTGACCATTAGGACACGACTGTAATCTCCACTTTCCATTTACGCATAAGTAGAATTTTTCGCAATCACCAGGATATTCTTGGAATTCACCATGTTGACATTCTGGTTTTTCTGTTGTTGTCGTAGTTGTTGAAGTGGTTGAAGTGGTTGTTGAAGGGGTGGTAGTAGTCGTACTGGAAGACGTTGATGTTGTTGTACTTCTACATGTTCCATCCTCAGGAATACAATAATTCTTTTCCTTATTAAAGTATTGACCATTAGGACACGACTGTAATCTCCACTTTCCATTTACGCATAAGTAGAATTTTTCGCAATCACCAGGATACTCTTGGAATTCACCATGTTGACATTCTGGTTTTTCTGTTGTTGTCGTAGTTGTTGAAGTGGTTGAAGTTGTTGTTGAAGGGGTGGTAGTAGTCGTACTGGAAGAAGTTGATGTTGTTGTACTTCTACATGTTCCATCTTCTGGAATGCAATAATTCTTTTCCTTATTAAAGTATTGACCATTAGGACACGACTGTAATCTCCACTTTCCATTTACGCATAAGTAGAATTTTTCGCAATCACTAGGATATTCTTGGAATTCACCATGTTGACATTCTGGTTTTTCTGTTGTCGTAGTTGTTGAAGTGGTTGAAGTGGTTGTTGAAGGGGTGGTGGTAGTCGTACTGGAAGATGTTGATGTTGTTGTACTTCTACATGTTCCATCCTCAGGAATACAATAATTGTTTTGCTTATTAAAGTATTGACCGTTAGGACACGACTGTAATCTCCACTTTCCATTTACGCATAAGTAGAATTTTTCGCAATCACCAGGATACTCTTGGAATTCACCATGTTGACATTCTGGTTTTTCAGTTGTTGTCGTAGTTGTTGGAGTGGTTGAAGTGGTTGTTGAAGGGGTGGTGGTAGTCGTACTGGAAGAAGTTGATGTTGTTGTACTTCTACATGTTCCATCTTCTGGAATGCAATAATTCTTTTCCTTATTAAAGTATTGACCATTAGGACACGACTGTAATCTCCACTTTCCATTTACGCATAAGTAGAATTTTTCGCAATCACTAGGATACTCTTGGAATTCACCATGTTGACATTCTGGTTTTTCGGTTGTTGTCGTAGTTGTTGAAGTGGTTGAAGTGGTTGTTGAAGGGGTGGTAGTAGTCGTACTGGAAGAAGTTGATGTTGTTGTACTTCTACATGTTCCATCTTCTGGAATGCAATAATTCTTTTCCTTATTAAAGTATTGACCATTAGGACACGACTGTAATCTCCACTTTCCATTTACGCATAAGTAGAATTTTTCGCAATCACTAGGATACTCTTGGAATTCACCATGTTGACATTCTGGTTTTTCTGTTGTTGTCGTAGTTGTTGAAGTGGTTGAAGTGGTTGTTGAAGGGGTGGTAGTAGTGGTACTGGAAGACGTTGATGTTGTTGTACTTCTACATGTTCCATCTTCAGGAATACAATAATTCTTTTGCTTATTAAAGTATTGACCGTTAGGACACGACTGTAATCTCCACTTGCCATTTACGCATAAGTAGAATTTTTCGCAATTACCAGGATACTCTTGGAATTCACCATGTTGACATTCTGGTTTTTCTGTTGTTGTCGTAGTTGTTGAAGTGGTTGAAGTGGTTGTTGAAGGGGTGGTAGTAGTCGTACTGGAAGAAGTTGATGTTGTTGTACTTCTACATGTTCCATCTTCTGGAATGCAATAATTCTTTTCCTTATTAAAGTATTGACCATTAGGACACGACTGTAATCTCCACTTTCCATTTACGCATAAGTAGAATTTTTCGCAATCACCAGGATACTCTTGGAATTCACTATGTTGACATTCTGGTTTTTCGGTTGTTGTCGTAGTTGTTGAAGTGGTTGAAGTGGTTGTTGAAGGGGTGGTAGTAGTCGTACTGGAAGATGTTGACGTTGTTGTACTTCTACATGTTCCATCCTCAGGAATACAATAATTCTTTTCCTTATTAAAGTATTGACCGTTAGGACACGAATGTAATCTCCACTTTCCATTTGCGCATAGGTAGAACTTTTCACAATCACCAGGATATTCTTGGAATTCACCGCGCGTACATTCAGGCTTTTCTGTTGTTGTCGTACTTGTTGAGGTGGTTGTTGTTGAAGGTGTGGTAGTAGTTGTACTGGAAGAAGTAGATGTTGTTGTACTTCTACATGTTCCATCCTCAGGGATACAATAATTCTTTTCCGTATTAAAGTATTGACCGTTAGGACACGAATGTAATCTCCACTTTCCATTTGCGCATAAGTAGAACTTTTCGCAATCACCAGGATACTCTTGGAATTCACCGCGTGTACATTCAGGCTTTTCTGTTGTTGTCGTACTTGTTGAAGTAGTTGTTGTTGAAGGTGTGGTAGTAGTCGTACTGGAAGAAGTTGATGTTGTTGTACTTCTGCATGTTCCATCCTCAGGAATACAATAATTCTTTTCCTTATTGAAGTATTGGCCGTTAGGACACGAATGTAATATCCACTTTCCATTTACGCATAGGTAGAACTTTTCACAATTACTAGGATACTCTTGGAATTCACCGTGTGTACATTCAGGCTTTTCTGTTGTTGTCGTACTTGTTGAAGTGGTTGAAGTGGTTGTTGTTGTTGAAGGCGTTGTAGTAGTCGTACTGGAAGAAGTTGATGTTGTTGTACTTCTACATGTTCCATCCTCAGGAATACAATAGTTTTCTTCCTTATTAAAGTATTGGCCATTGGGACACGACTGTAATCTCCACTTTCCATTTACGCATAGGTAGAACTTTTCGCAATCACTCGGATACTCTTGGAATTCACCATGTTGACATTCTGGTTTTTCTGTTGTTGTCGTACTTGTTGAGGTGGTAGTTGTTGAAGGTGTGGTAGTAGTTGTACTGGAAGAAGTTGACGTTGTTGTACTTCTACATGTTCCATCCTCAGGAATACAATAATTCTTTTCCTTATTAAAGTATTGACCGTTAGGACACGAATGTAATCTCCACTTTCCATTTGCGCATAGGTAGAACTTTTCGCAATCACCAGGATACTCTTGGAATTCACCGCGGGTACATTCAGGCTTTTCTGTTGTTGTCGTACTTGTTGAAGTAGTTGTTGTTGAAGGTGTGGTAGTAGTCGTACTGGAAGAAGTTGATGTTGTTGTACTTCTACATGTTCCATCTTCTGGAATACAATAATTCTTTTCCTTATTAAAGTATTGGCCGTTAGGACACGAATGTAATATCCATTTTCCATTTACGCATAAGTAGAACTTTTCGCAATCACTAGGATACTCTTGGAACTCACCATGTTGACATTCTGGTTTTTCTGTTGTTGTCGTACTTGTTGAGGTGGTTGTTGTTGAAGGCGTTGTAGTAGTGGTACTGGAAGAAGTTGATGTTGTTGTACTTCTGCATGTTCCGTCCTCAGGAATACAATAATTCTTTTCCTTATTAAAGTATTGGCCATTGGGACACGACTGTAATCTCCACTTTCCATTTACGCATAAGTAGAATTTTTCGCAATCACTAGGATACTCTTGGAATTCACCATGTTGACATTCTGGTTTTTCTGTTGTTGTCGTAGTTGTTGAAGTGGTTGAAGTGGTTGTTGATGGGGTGGTAGTAGTCGTACTGGAAGAAGTTGATGTTGTTGTACTTCTACATGTTCCATCTTCAGGAATACAATAATTCTTTTGCTTATTAAAGTATTGACCGTTAGGACACGACTGTAACCTCCACTTTCCATTTACGCATAAGTAGAATTTTTCGCAATCACCAGGATACTCTTGGAATTCACCATGTTGACATTCTGGTTTTTCTGTTGTTGTCGTAGTTGTTGAGGTGGTTGTTGTTGAAGGGGTGGTAGTAGTCGTGCTGGAAGAAGTTGATGTTGTTGTACTTCTACATGTTCCATCCTCAGGAATACAATAATTCTTTTGCTTATTAAAATATTGACCGTTAGGACAGGAGTGTAATCTCCACTTTCCGTTTACGCATAAGTAGAATTTTTCGCAATCACTAGGATATTCTTGGAATTCACCATGTTGACATTCTGGTTTTTCTGTTGTTGTCGTAGTTGTTGAAGTGGTTGAAGTGGTTGTTGATGGGGTGGTAGTAGTCGTACTGGAAGAAGTTGATGTTGTTGTACTTCTACATGTTCCATCTTCAGGAATACAATAATTCTTTTGCTTATTAAAGTATTGACCGTTAGGACACGACTGTAATCTCCACTTTCCATTTACGCATAAGTAGAATTTTTCGCAATCACCAGGATACTCTTGGAATTCACCATGTTGACATTCTGGTTTTTCTGTTGTTGTCGTAGTTGTTGAGGTGGTTGTTGTTGAAGGGGTGGTAGTAGTCGTGCTGGAAGAAGTTGATGTTGTTGTACTTCTACATGTTCCATCCTCAGGAATACAATAATTGTTTTGCTTATTAAAGTATTGACCGTTAGGACACGACTGTAATCTCCACTTTCCATTTACGCATAAGTAGAATTTTTCGCAATCACCAGGATACTCTTGGAATTCACCATGTTGACATTCTGGTTTTTCTGTTGTTGTCGTAGTTGTTGAGGTGGTTGTTGTTGAAGGGGTGGTAGTAGTCGTGCTGGAAGAAGTTGATGTTGTTGTACTTCTACATGTTCCATCCTCAGGAATACAATAATTCTTTTGCTTATTAAAATATTGACCGTTAGGACAGGAGTGTAATCTCCACTTTCCATTTACGCATAAGTAGAATTTTTCGCAATCTCCAGAATACTCTTGGAATTCACCATGTTCGCATTCTGGTTTTTCTGTGGTTGTCGTACTTGTTGATGTTGTTGTTGTTGATGAAGGCGTGGAAGTAGTCGTACTGGAAGAAGTTGATGTTGTTGTACTTCTGCAAGTGCCATCCTCAGGAATACAATAATTCTTTTCCTTGTTAAAGTACAGACCGTTGGGGCAAGTATGTAATCTCCACTTTCCATTTACGCATAAGTAGAACTTTTCGCAATCACTAAGATACTCTTGGAATTCACCATGTTGACATTCTGGTTTTTCTGTTGTTGTCGTACTTGTTGAAGTAGTTGTTGTTGTTGATGGCGTCGAAGTAGAAGAAGTGGAAGAAGTTGATGTGGTTGTACTTCTACATGTTCCATCCTCAGGAATACAATAATTCTTTTCTTTGTTGAAGTATTGCCCTGTGGGACACCTATGCAATCTCAATTTACCATAGACGCACAAGTAGAATTTCTCGCAGTCTTCCGCATATACTTCAAATTCCCCGTGTGTACATTCTGGGGCTTCTGTTGTGGTGGTTGTGGTCGAGGTTGTAGATGTTGTTGTCGTTGATGGCGTGGTTGTGCTAGAAGTAGTTGATGAAGTATTTCGACAGGTACCATCTTCTGGTATACAATATTTCTTTTCTTTGTTAAAATATTGTCCGCTAGGGCACGTGTGCAATCTCCACTTGCCATTCACACACAAGAAGAATTTTTCGCAGTTGCTACGGTCTTCTTCAAATTTACCATGTTCACATTCTGGTTTTTCTGTAGAAGTTGTAGTTGATGTAGTTGAAGTTGTGCTAGAACTACTGGACGTTGTTGTAGTTTTACAAGTTCCGTCTTCTGGTATACAGTAGTTCTTTTTTTTGTTGAAGTATTGTCCGGTAGGACACGTATGTAGTCTCCATTTTCCATTTACGCATAAGTAGAACTTTTCACAATCTTTCGGATACTCTTCAAAATCTCCGCTTTGACATTCTGGCTTTTCTGTTGTAGTGGTTGATGTGGTTGTTGTTGAAGGGGTGGTTGTAGTCGTACTGGAAGTTGTCGATGTTGTTGTACTTCGGCAAGTTCCATCTTCAGGGATGCAATAATTCTTTGCTTTATTAAAGTATTGGCCACTAGGACAAGAATGTTGTCTCCATACACCGTTGACACATAAGTAGAACTTCTCGCAATTTTCGAAATCTTCCTCAAATTCGCCATGTTGACATTCTGGTTTTTGTGTAGTGGTTGTAGTGGATGTTGTAGTTGAAGGCGTCGTTGTACTTGTTGTTGAGGTAGTGGTTGATGTGGTAGAGGTAGTCGTGGTTCTGCATGTTCCATCTTCAGGAATACAGTAGTTCTTGAATTTATTGAAGTACTGACCAGTTGGACACGATTGTGATCGCCATTTACCACTAACACATAAGTAGAATTTTTCGCAATTATTACGATCTTCTTCAAATTCGCCATGTTCACATTCTGGTTTTTCTGTAGTAGTTGTAGTTGATGTAGTTGTCGTTGTACTAGAACTACTAGACGTTGTAGTAGTTCTACATGTTCCATCTTCCGGTATACAATAATTCTTTTCTTTGTTAAAATATTGTCCGTTAGGGCACGTGTGAAGTCTCCATTTTCCATTAATACATAAATGGAATTTTTCACAATCATTAGGATATTTTTGGAACTCGCCATGTGTGCATTCGGGTTTTTCTGTTGTACTAGTAGATGAAGTAGTTGTACTCGTAGTGGAAGAAGTTGTACTCCAAGGTGTCGTTGGTTTGCATGTTCCATCTTCTAGTATGCAGTACTTTTTAAATTTGTTAAAGTATTGACCTTCTGGGCAATATTGGGTTAACCACTTGCCGTTTACGCATACGCGGAATCTTTCACAGTCATTTGGATATTCTTCAAATTCTCCGTGTAAGCATTCGGGTTTTTCTGTAGTTGTAGTAGTTGTTGAGGTTGAAATTGTAGTGGATGAAGAAGTGGTATGACATGTTCCATCATCAGGTATGCAATACTTTTTAGATTTACTAAAATATTGATTTTCGGGACAGGAATGTAGTCGCCAGTAGCCTAAAATGCATAACTCAAATTTGGCGCAGTCTTGGTCGTATTCCCTGAATTCGCCATTTACGCAGTCGGGAGCTGGTGTTGGTGTTGTTGTTGTCGTTGTTGTAGTTGTAGTACTTTTCGTTGTGGATGTTGTTTTGCAGGTTCCATCTTCTGGAACACAGTAATTTTTGGTTTTGTCAAAATATTGATTAGGAGAGCATTTGTGGAGCCTCCAGTATCCAAGAACACACAGTTCAAATTTAGTGCAATCTTCATCATAAGATCGATATTCACCATGTATACATTCTGGACGTTCAGTTGAAGTTGTAGTTGTAGAGCTACAGGTTCCGTCCTCAGGAATACAATAATTTTTTTCTTTATTAAAGTATTGCCCTTTTGAACAGAATTGTTCTCTCCAACGTCCGAGAACGCATAAGAAAAATTTAACACAATTCGTTGGGTGATATGTATACTCTCCGTGCGTACATTCTGGTTGGGGTGTTGGGGTAGGAGTGGGAGTTACGCGACATGTTCCATCTTCAGGTATGCAATAGTTTTTTTCTACATTGAAGTATTGATTTTGAGAACAAGTTTTTATTCGCCATCTGTCTACAACGCACAAATAAAATTTGGTACAATCATCAGGATATTGTTTATATTCTCCGTGTATGCATTCTGGTTTTGGTGTAGTTGACGACGTTGTCGTAGAACGACAGGTACCATCGTCACGCACACAATTATTTTTGATAGGATCGAAATATTGGTTTTCGGAACATTGTTGAACTCTCCATCTATCGACCACGCATAAGTTGAATTTTGTACAATCACCAGGAAATTCTTTATATTCGCCATGTATGCATTCTGGTTTTGGTGTAGTTGATGTTGTTGTAGTTTTACAAGTTCCATCTTCTGGTATACAGTAATTTTTATCTACATTAAAGTACTGATTTGCGTTACATGACTTATTGTGCCATTTTCCATTCAAGCAAAGGAAAAATTTCGTACAATCTTCAAGATTCTCTTTATATTGACCATGATGGCAATCAGGCTTTATCGTAGTTTTGACGGTAGAACATACGTTGTTTGTGTCTGGTTCGCAATAATTTAAATCTTTGTTAAAATATTGGTATATACTACATTCCTGTAATCTCCATTTTCCATTAACACATAAATAATACCTTGCACAATTTTGATCATCTTCTTTATAGGCACCATGATCACATTCATCAACACATGTACCATCATCTGGTACACAGAAATTTTGTGTTTTATTGAAATACTGATTTCGGGAGCACGTTTGCAATCTCCAAATTCCAGAAACGCACAAATAAAATTTACGACAGTAGCAATCATCTGGTATATATTGCCCATCAAGGCAAGTCTCTCCTAATCTTTTTTCGTTTTTTTCAGAACAGCTTCCAAGAGCATTTCGCTTTCGTCGACTATTTGGGTTAAAATCTGTTCCGCATAAAATACGTGGTTCATTCTCACATTGCTTAGAGTAACCATCGAAAACTTTTTGGTATTCACAATGAATCTCTTGACAATTATTTTGATAATCACATTTATAATAAGATCTACAACGGTTATTTAAATTTGGATAAAAAATGATTTGATCTTTCTTCAAAACCTGAAAAAAAAAATATTTATTGTTTTTTAATCTGTAAATTGGTTTTTTTTTTTTCTTATTTACTTTAAAACCGAAAAAAGTCCGAAATGAATAATTTCAGATAATTATAACATATGTATGCATTTAACTCACATTTGGGGTTTGAAGCGACGAAATATAATTGTTTTCACATTTTACATTCCCAATTTGAAAAGTACACTCACCTCTACGTGAGTCGTACAGTTGTCCGTTACTGCAAATTTCTATTTTTGAAATTCCATCGGAACATGTTATGTAAGATCGGCAATTATCGTAATAGTTTCCTATTCGGAAACCATCTTCAAGCGAGGAACAGTTCTAAAAATAACATTTAATTAAAGATTTATTAAAAACAAAAATTCTTGTTCAAAAGGTTACTTTTTTCGATTGAATTATTTTTTTCTAATTTACTATATAATTAATATTTATAGCAGCTTTAATAATAATTATTAGTAATTTTAATAATACAAAAAATTCTAACTCTAATAACAAAAATTAACTGTTCTAAGAAAATAATATCGCGGGCGGTCGAGCGAAACTCATGGAAGAAATTGGGCGTCAGCAACTGGACGTTAACTGCGGGTCAAATATCCATTTGTGCATATATAAAGAGAAATAATCAACCGTTTTCATTGAAATTTAATATTTAAATTCGTATTAAACTAATAAACATATAAATTTTTTGGAAAGATCAGGGCTTGGAAACTGCGATTTTACATTTTTCACCATATCTACGGAACGAATTGATGGAATTTCTTGAAATTCCATATTTGAGCTCTGGTTGTTACCGAAACTAACTGGCGAGCATTTCAAGGAATTCGGGTAGCATAAAGCGACACTCTACTAAGAGTCAGATTTACATTTTTCTACGTATGCTAGAAAAAATGTAATAAATATTCTAAAAATTGGAAAGAGGTATTTATAAGACATTTTTATAATATTCTGTAACATTTTCACTTAACTAGACAACACACATTGCGGTCGGTTATGTGCTGACCACATCAGATTTTTTTTTTACTTTTAATATAAATTTAAAAATCTCAGAAATTGAGAAAACAAAAACTCATATATTACAAAAATATGTAATATATAAATATAGAAAATGTTAAGCTTATTTTTTTTTAATAAAAAACAAATTCTATGTTGATCGTTTTTAATAATATTCTAAATAGCTTCCATATTTGCGTATTTTAAAAATTATGTAGGCATTATAGTTTAATATTTGACATTTTTTAATTGTAAAAATTTCGAGTTATATAGGAATAGATGAAGTTTCAATCAAATATTTTACATTCAATCAACAAATAATTATTCAAAAAATTTAATTTTTCTGGATTTTTACACCCATAATACAGATGATGTAAAATATCTAATCATAAGTTTCAGAGCAAAAACAGTGATCTCAATAAAAACATTAATTTTGTAATTAATTCCAAATTATTGACAAATAGTATTCAGAAATTAATAATTATAATCAAAATTAAAAATAATTTCTAAATTGGCTTAATTAATAATAAGATAAAGTTGATTTTCTTATAACTTATGTAATTCTTAAAAAATATTACAAAAATTTTTTTTTCTTGTGTAATTAAAAACTCGCTAACTAATTAAATAAAATAAATTAAATGTTTTCAAATTTTAAAATAAATATTTATAAAATTTGCAACAAAATTTTATTATTCACAGATTGTAGAAAAAATCAGAAATCAGAAGCAATATTCAGAATAGAAGCAAACAATAGATTGTAAAAAAAATTAGAAACTAAAAGAACTGAAAGAAATTCCAAAAAAATGCGTCTTTTTTTTTAAGGAATAAACTCTTTTTAATTTTCGTTTCATAATATAAAAATAATGTACGCGTAAACAAAAACAAAAAAAACTAATTGAAAAGTTTTGAAGGACGAAATAATCCGTGAGTTCTTCATATTTAAATTTAATTTCATATTTTTGTTTTTTATTTTCTAAAATTTTTTACACTAAATAGCTTAATAAGAATAAATTGAAACTAGTTTTTATTATTTTTTTTAACAATTTGCACTAAAATATTATATGAATGTACAGTTATACAAAATTTTCATTTTATAAACGTAAAATTAACTTACATAAATACTTTGGACTGGTATTGTACTATTTGTCATACAAAAACCACTAGGATATACACATACTTCCAAAATTGGATTATATTCAAGTCCTTTTGGACAATTTTGTTCACGTAAAATATGGGATTCATCACATTTAAAAAATTTATGACAATCTGTAGGATGTGCTACCTGTACTGCAAAACCGTGAACATTTTGCTGAAAACAACGTTCATCGGCACATAATATAGCAACTGTTGTTATTAATAAATTAATAAAAACCACAATTGAAAACTTCATTTAGATTTCCTTATTATTTTTTTTTTTTCTATGTTATTTTTTTTTTTTTTTTAAATTTCATATAAATATATTTTATTCACTATATGTAGGTATCACTTATTTATTAAAACTAAATTTATTTTTAATATTATTCTTTTAATATAAGCATTGTATATTTATAAAATTTTTTATTTTATTTTTTTTTAAATTATTATTTTTTAAGAGATTTGTTCCTGTTTGATGCTTTTGTTGTGTGTAGTGAAAATTTTTTTAATTATCCTTGGTTGTTTAATTATTTTCCTTTTTCTTGTTTTTGTTTATTATTTTAATCCTTGGAAGGTTTTTGTATATTAATTTTTTTTATGAAAGGATATGACGAGTAAATTCCTTAATTAATTGAAAAAAAAAAACCAGTGATGTTAAAAAAAAATATTACAAGATCGTTTCAGTCCAAAATTTCTTGTATATAATTTTAGTTTAAGTTATTCACAATAATTAAAATATTATAAATAAGATCGATCGATAAATATTGTTAAAGTGAATCTGAAATTTTTTATAATAATTTTTGATCATTTATACCAAAAAAAAAAGAAAAAAATAATTTTGTTCTATCTTATCGTTATATGGTATTTTTTTTTTTTTTTTTAATGTTGAACAAACATAAAATTGATATTATACTAAGATAAATTTTTTTATATAAATTTCAAATATGTACCTACATTATAATATATACAAATATTGTACATAATTATAAATAATTGCATGTAAATATATATATATATATATATATATATATATGTAAGTGATATCAAATCTTATAATCAATTTCTAACTTTTTTTTTTTTTTGATTTTTGATTTTAACTTTTGATTTTTATCAGTTAAAAGCATTCTGAGATAGACATCATGTTCTTATGTTTGGTTAAAAGAAAAACTATTATATTTGTATATTTATACAAATATTTTGGTATGTATACGTATATGTAAGTTACATTATGTATATGATGTGCAAATGTATGTAACCTGATTTATAAATAAATCTTCTATTGTATTCTTAAATATTAAATTTCCTATTTCAATACATGTTTATACATATGTGTGTCAAGTTAGAAAATTTTTAAATATTATAATTACATATATGAATGTATATATATGTATGTATATGATAGATATCATAGCTATGTGTAAAGTTAGAACTCATCAGTGAGCATAATAATATAAAATTAAAATTTATCTACATCTATAAAACAATAATTAACATTATTGTAGTTGTATTTGTGCCCTTGACAAGATTCTCTTTTATTCTTTTGTTTGTTTTTAATTTTATAATGCAAAAAATAAATAAAAATTTTTTCTATAAAATTTTGCATTTTAAAAATTTATAAATTTTAATTTTTTTTTTTATATTATATTTAAAAAGAATGTTCATGGAAAATTCCTTATACTATTAAATTTTATTACAATAGCTATCACCTCCGAATTTTTCTTTTGCAACCCGTATTTTAATTTCCAAATAAACCATATTAATTTTGTACTTAAAGTGTAATACATATGCTTAACTTTTAAGCTTATGCACTTGTGTAATTCGAGTTGACAAATAATTTTTTTTTTGACGTGTAGGTGGCCATTTTAATGTCAAGAGAATTCATTATTTAAAAAATGCAGAGTGATAAAAATTAAATATTAATTATGAATTTTTCATTCACAAATAAAACCATTGTGAATTCTGAAAAACCACGTGCAAATAAGTTTTTGTTAAAACACTAAAAATGACATTTTAAATAAGTAAGACTCAATACAAACAACATAAAATTAATTTGAGTAAAAAATTATATGTCAAACTATTTCATCTATCTAGAGTTAGAATAATGTTTTTATTTATTATTTTCTCGCACATGCATTTCACCAAACTTACTAATTAAAGAAACATAAATTTATTTAAAAGAAAGTATTATATTGTATTGAGTTGCATGTCATGAATTACGCGTGTCGAACCTCATTATCATGACATACGAAAAAAAATTGCAATTATTGATTTTGAGTCTTATAGTTGTAGAGTTTTTGTAAAGATCTCGATATTACTTATTCCTAGTTCAATTTTTTTTTTTGGAATTACAAAGATATATTGTGAATTCTATTATAGATAGCTACTATTTCAATATTATACAAGTAATATTCTATTAATTCGTAATTCAGCAATTACGACTCTAAATGCTAAATTCTGAATTAATATTGTACAATAAACAAATTAATTTTCATGAAATTTAATGATCATTTTTTTTGTTCTTTGCTGAATGATGTTATACTTTGAAAAAAAATAAACCAATAATAATATTTCATAATATTCAGACATGATTTAAGATAAAATTTCAACAAAAATCAAATATAAATTACCAAAAAAAAAATATTCATTAATGAACTTTTTACCTGATTTTAAAACACCTTTTATCACAACGTTATTATATTATTATTCTTATGTTTTTTTTTATATTTAACATGCGTATTTAATGCACCTTTTCAATATTTTAAATATGCACAATGCACCATGATATCCCCAAGGCATAACAAAATTTTCATGCATTCAAATCCGTTTAAAATTATTTTTTTTTCTTTTCTTTCTTTTTTGTTTTCTTTTTCTTTTATTCCATTTATATTCCTTTAATATATGTACATATGTATATTTAAATGTAGTTGACATTATATTGTAAGCTTCTATAGACGATGTAAAGCCTATACATCTACTTATGTATATATTAAAGGCTTAAATAAATGCTCATGTTTGTCCATATATGTATAAGGATGAATGCATATTTAATACATCCATAATATTGAATTGAAAATGTAATACCGGAATGTTTAAAGCCTGAAAATGGAATAAAATTAATAAAAAAAAAAAAAAAAAAAAACAAAAATGAAATTTGATATGCAGTTGAATTAAGTGAGGTTACTGAAATCATTGAATAAAACAAAAAAATAAAAAGAAAACAGGAAAACCGAAATCTATATTTACCCTTTATCTCTTCCTCCTTTTACGTTTTAATTTTGATGAGTTGACTCTGCTCAATGTAATATGCACTAGTATTTAGTGGGTGTATGATGTCGTAAGACAGATGTTTTTAAAATTTGAAATAAGCAAATAAGCTCTCCTTCATTTAGGAATTTTTAAATTGCACACAATTATTAAAAATTTTATAGAAATTTTCTAAAAATTGAATATCTCACTTGCTTACTCCGAAATAAGAGAGTGCTTATTAATATTAATTATTATTTGAACAAATAATATTAATATTGCATTACAGCTCTCTAAAGTATATTTGGCAATTTTCAGTTAGACGTTTTTGAGGTCTCTTAGTACTTACTATGTAAACTAAATACTAGACTAAATAAATCATTATTTCACTGTAGTCAACGCATATTCTATTTGTTATGAATTATAAAAAGTTGGTGCTGACTTATATTCTTATATCATACTGGATTCTGTATTATATACACGTCTGTAATATAGAATCCAGTATGATATGAGAAGTATGATGAGTATGATACAGATACGTCATTCTGTATTACATGCGACTTAATATTGCCGTATTATACAATATTCACACACAATTAATAGACATTTTAGTTAGAAGTTATAATATAGTTCCTTAATTGAAAATTGAAGTACGAGTACATAATATGATGGTAATATGCGATTCAACTTATGAATTGCTCAAGTTCCTGAATTTTGTATCAATACGATATTACTGCAATATTGTATAGTCCAAAAGGGCGATAATACGTTTTCGGATTAAAAAACATTGACAATGTAGTAGTCAATAAGATCGAAACTTATTCAATTGCTAAAAAAAACTTATTCCTCTTTTAATAAATTTTATAAAAAGAAAAAAAAAATTTGAAACAACCAAAAAAACATCTTTAAATTGCATAAAAATTTCATTTAATAATATTAAAGTTTGTGTAGCCGCAAATTGAAATTGCATCCTGTTGAAACCGAACCGAAAATAATATCAAAAAGTATTGAAAAAAAAATCAGTAAGAAAAAAATCAAAGTTGAATTATTTATTACGAAAAAGGGATCATCATAATAAATTGAAATTCTGCCAAAATATAAACAAGAAAAAAAAAGTAAAAGAAAGAGAAAGAAATAAGAAAATTTTCAATTCTAAAATGTCTATACGGTAAAAATTATTGCCGTTACTTAATATAATTATTACAACATACACACATATTTGCATTATTTTTATTGCTTTTATAATATTAAATAAAATTATTATTCGTACAATAAAGCAAAAACAAAATAATCCAAAAGATCAAAAAACAAATTTGCCATCACAAAAAAATCCTTTATAAAAAAAAAATTCTTAAACCTTCCAGCTTACATTTTTGACTTTAAAAGAGGTTCTCAAATTCAAACTTACTAACAGTATGCAATATGAAAATGTTCAATATAAAAGGAAGATATTCGCATATAAAATTCTAGAAGAGAGAAAACACAATTATAACAACAACAATGCTTGATTCGAACAATTAAAATATTATTGTGTAAAGGTAGTGGAAGGTGTATGTAAAGTTTTTTTACTCCTTTTTCGATTGATAAGCATAAAATCTCATTTTACGTTTAATTTGTTTTATTTTTTTTTTTTTCGGGAAAAGTATATGCTTAATATGGTGTGCATTTAAATAATGGTATTATTAAAATGTATTCAGAATTACATTAAATTTCTATATAATTTTTGACTTTAATATTTTATTTTATTGTTATATACATATAAGTATGAGTATATACGCTTGGTTTTATAAAAGAGGTAAAAAAATTAAAGGAAAATGATTTATTTAAAAGCTATTATAAAAAAATTGTGTGCAAATTTAAATACTCTTGTGACTGTGTACTTATAGGTACTTACATTAAAATATTAATGTATGTATTAAAATAATATGAATACCTGTATTTCATATACAAATAAATGAAAATATAAAATTAATCATATTATTTTTAGTATAAAAAATATTTAAAAATAAAAAA